GCTCTGTCAACAAGCCCCACTAGCTCATGTGCTAGAACTCTTTTTCCCCTCGGAGATAGGTGCATCCCCTCAGATGTCAGTAGACCAGGTGTTCAGTAGATCATCCCATGGTCAACAAATGCCAGATTTTTACCATTGCACCAACCTTGGAGCTCTTCATTGACCTGATGGATCTGACTATTACTAGCAATATTATTCCTTGCTACTGGAAGGATCAAGGAAATTACTATCTGTGCTCCTGATCTCTCTGCCATTTTTTTGGTGTTCTCCTATGTGGAGCTGTACAGGGAGTAAGGAAGAGTCTGCCAGAGAGAGGGAGCCTGTGTGTGAAGCTGCTGTGCCACATCAGCCTGCCTTTATCTGCTGAATCCTCTCCCTTTGGAGAGGCTGAGGAGGCTGGGGATGGAGCTGGGAGCTTTCCCAGCACCCCATGTCTGTGGTTAGTTAGTGGGAATGGAGTGGGAGTGTGGGAAGTGAACCCTGTCTCGTTTGTGCTGCAGGAAGGAGCAGCCACGGGAATTTGAATGAGGCTGAGAAAAAAGGGTCAGACAGCGAGTATGTGTGGAAAGGATCTGGATGGGAGATACTGGAAAGCAGAGCTAGTGCTTGTGCCCTGAGCTGAGAAGTTGCTGAAGAAGCAGAACAAGTAAGGAGAGAGTGGCAAGAGTGAATTGCAATGCTGGGAATCTGGATGCCTGCAGAGCAGTTCCTTTGCTCTGATCAGCTTATTGGGGATTTTACATGATTTTAATGTGCATTTTTCTAGCTAGTGTTTGCAAGAATTCCTTGGAGCTTGGTGATGAAACAGACTTCCTTTCTAATTTCTCGCTCAAACAAGTATGCACAGTAGCTAAAGGTACAGCTGGTTGTGAGACCACATGCGTGGCTACACAAGTCACACCAAGTCTTGTGAATTCCTGGTGTGGTTTGTTGAGCAGAACCGCAGCATGAACTCTTGATAGGTGTGTCTATTAATATCCTTTGGCTTTACTGAGTCTTCTAGTTGATATGTACCTAGCTTAAAGATCAGTCTGAAAACGTCATCCTTTTTTTCCTTTAGTAGCTGATATAAACAGAAGACATAGGTGTGGTGGTGAAATACCTTGGATCCTTCTACTGTGACAATGCCCCAGCTGAGGTGGCAGCAGTGGGCAGGGGTAGTGTGGAATCCTGGTTTTCTCTCCGAGTCTCTCGATTTGTATTCCTGGACCATGAGGTGGCTCAGCTGGCCACAGTGTAACAAAAACTCTGTAAGCGTCAAAAGCCAGCTCACATGATAAGACAGGGGACTGGACAGGCAATACCTGCCAACAGAATGTGATGCTGAGGCACAAGAAAGGGCAGTCCCAGTTTGCAGGTCCAAGAGCTTTGATGGCTAAGTACATATAAGCATGTAAGTGTGCTCTCTTGTGATTGTTAATACTGCTTATAAGTGTCAGAGGAAAGGGACAGGTTGTGTACGCTGCATGTGAATATATACGTACCATATGGGGCTGATTCTTCCCTTCGTAAGGTGTTTTTAGTGAACTCATTCTGGAAGAATGTTCTCACCTCTGCAGCCTGTGGGATATTCACAGCCAGCTGGTACAAACTGTGGATTTGTTTGGGTTTTTTTCCTTTCCCATCCCCTTCCTCTTTTTATTGGAAATGAAAGGAGGTGAAGGCAGAGGCGAGGCTGTGCATTGCGCAGTGCTCTTGTTCTGGCCCTGTTGGCAGCTTCTCGAGTCTGGTGATGAATGAGCTTGTTGCATGAGATCCTCCACTGAGGCTTCAGCATCTCTAATAAGGCAGCCAGTGTTTCCTTGTCCTCTGCGCCTGCCTCTGCTTTATTAACTGCACCACAGCAATATTAAACTGGAGCACTGGGTCAACATGATCAGGAGGAGGGAGGCTGAGAAGAGGGTGGAAGGAAGAAGATAACAGGATAAAATGGGAGAAGAGAACACAGAGTGGGAGAAAGGGCAACAGCTGGCAATTGAAGCAGATTGAAAAATGGGTTCCTACTGGGCCGATGCATGCAGTTCTGCACAGACCTGCTGCTGGCAATAAGGGAGGCAAAGGATATTTAGGGAGGGGGGCAGACCTTGACCTTAATGTCTCTGTCTGCTGGATCTGTGCTAGTGACTACAAGCCTGCACCTGCTCCGCATGCACGCAGCAAGCGGCTGGCTGGAGTTGCCCCCTTTTTCTCCCTGACACGTGCCCTTTAAACTGTGCTGGCAGTGCACCTGGCTCTCTCTACTGATGGCTGCAGCTGGCTCAGGGGAGATGTTTGGCCCATGCTGCCTTTCACAGAGAAGAGCCAGTCTTTCCAAAGACATCCAAAGACATTCTGTTATGATGCCAGGACTGTAGGGACCATACTAAGGATGTGCAGAGGGCAGCCTTTCTGGCAGTGAGTTTCTTTGTAGGTTCAAGCTGCAGATTGAATAGAGACAGGACATAGGCTGAGAGAAGAGTTGTGAGGCTATGAAGTATTTGATGGAGGGAAAAGATTCTCTTAAAACTTTCCGTCTATACACCAAGAGGAGATACATGCTGGGCCCCAGCTGTGCCTTTCCCATTACCTAGTTGTCCGGGTCTCTTTTGGGAAGCAGGAAAGTTGCAACCCATAGGAAGCGTATGTGCCCTTATTAATTTCTGTTTCACAGCCAAACCTTGGTGGCAGCCAGATATTTATTTGGTTTAACCCACAAGTCCCTGAGGATAGACTCAACTGGGGGATCTAGAGCTTTGCAGTCCAGACTGGAGGCTGATTTTGTAGTTTGTCCTGGATTAGACAATGTGGGAGAGTACGTGATTTGACACTGCTCCCATAGGCTTTTGATACCAAAATTCCACTTAAATCCCTGCTGAGGTGAAATTTGCACTGTCTGACTCTCACCCCCAGGCTTCTCTCTGACTCTCCCATTTTGTTTCTCTTCCAAAGGTTATGTCTAGATGAGGAAAATGGCTTCTGACCTCCTCCTATTTGCTGGCTGCCTTCTCAGCACCCCAGCTCATGGCAGCCTGTGGGGAGGAGCTGCTGCCAGCCCTCCCAGTGAGGTTCCACTCCCCCAAACATCTGTGCCAACTGTACCACTCCAACCTTCTGTTTCTGGCTTGTGGCTGCTCCTCTTCTCCCAGATAATTAGGGGTCTGGTGCTAATGATCCCAGGTGAAGTCGCTGCCACTGGGAGTCAGCTTTGCCATTGCTTGGCAGAACAGTGGTATGGAAGGCTGGCAGATGGGAGGGCTGAGCAGTAGGAATGCCAGCTTGCAAGCACACAAGAGGCATTGTTGATATGGATGGATCCTGGCAGCATCTTGGTGCCAGATTCATGCTTGGTTCCCTGCCCTGGTCCTGCCTGCTAGGACTCCTCCCAGGTGCTTTTCAGGAAGGCACCAAGCTGCGGGAAAGCAGCTCCCAGCTCTCTGACCCATCTTGCCCAGGGATGAGGAGGAGGGTGCAGAAAGTAGGTCCTCAAAGCAACTTGCACCCTGATCTGCTTAGGTACAAAGGTCTCTTTTAGGTACAATCTGTAAGGCAGTCTGTAAGTGCAAAGTTGTTTTTCACTGTGAGAACCACATGCAGCCATGGGTTCCCAGGTCCTACCCCAACACAGGATCTGGTCCAGTGCTGCCCCTTCACTTGGAAGCACCGTCCAAACTATGAGCTGATCAAGGAGGTGGGCTGTTGGCTCCTGGCTGTGTTGGAAATGAACAGGGCTGTGGCACAGGAAGCTCTCCAGTGGCAGCCATTGCTTCTGAGTTCGAACTTACAGTTACATTCGTGAGGGCTGAAGGCAGGCAGAGGAGGGATTGAATGAACTTGTTTTTATCAAGTGCCACATCTGCATTGCTCCCCAGCCCTGCCTTGCTGATGGCCCTTGCTCCTACTGTGCCCTCACTCCGTCTTCTTCCCCCAGACTCTCTACACTGACAGATTTGCTGTAAACCTTCCTCCATGCATCCTGGTTCCAGTAATCCTGTAACTTCAGCGTTAATGACCAACACTGAGACAGCCTGTCAGGAAAATTGCCTTTGCGATGGAAACTGTCAGCCTAGAGGATATATCAGAGGCAAGAGAAAGCTTAGTGTCAGGGACAGTGAACACTGGATCATGGAAAGCCCTGCCAAAGGTCGTTTTACCAGCACCAGCATCCTCAATAATGTATCTTGCCACAAGGATCCAGGCACCGCACGGCGACAGGCAGGAAATTGTATCTTCAAAATGCAGTCCTCGTTCTTATCCTTCCTCCACCAAGGAAGCATGACCATGGCAGGGAAGTTTCACTGACACATAATTCATCATTTTTAGTGGTGGTGATTTTGATAATGATATTTTTCCCATTGTTTTCTTTAAAATTCCCTGCTGCCTTAGCAAACTGAACAATGTTTAGCTGGTATGGTTCAGCTCCTTCCAAAGGGCATCAGAGAAAGAGAGAGCCTGTGACTGACTCCAGACAACCACCGACTTGAACTAGATCCCTTGCTCTGGTCTGCAGAGGCAGTGTGGGCTAGGATTCAAAGATGGATCCTACGGAAGGTTGCTGAGGAAGCATGGCAGTAGACAGGTCCCAGTGAGGCACCAAATGAAATGCCACAGGGCCCAGGCAGCAAGTGAATGAATTCTCTAGCAGTGATTGTGAACTGCAGAGTATCTTGGCGAAATGCCATGCTGTGTTTGCAAGGACCTTGGTGCACTAATAGGGGTAAGTTAGGTCCATTTTTCCCATCCTGAAACCATTCTTTCTGGACACAAAGTTGCTCCAGGACCCATAGTTCAAGTTGTCCCTAGAGTCAGGAGGACCCCAAGGCTTCTCTTGAGGGGGAACTCAGTCTCCTGATCACTGTTCTGTACCAGGGGTTGGAATTTTCAAACCATGAAGATCTCATGGAGAAACCAGATGTACATGTCTTTATAGGAAGAGGTGGAATAGTATGTTAGATGGTAGATAGGATTGCTCAGGTTTCCAGCTTCAGGATTCTCATAACACTGTGGGTTCTTTTTCTATGCAGCTGTCTCAGAGAAGCACCATCCAAACCTTCATTCCTGTGAAGAAAATGGAGAAAGGCCTGTTGCTGGAACACATCTTGCCCAACCTGAAAGTGCCTCAGAGCTATGAAGTTCGCCTGACACCCATCACCAGTTTTGGGGCTGGAGATATGGCTGCCCGCATCATCCGGTACATGGAACGTAGGTGTCTCTTCCTCGGTCCTGGCTACAAGAACAGGTCCGAGGCCCAGGCCTAGGGACACGGGCCTGAATAGATGTGGGTGGACCCTTGGGTGGACCTCTCTGCGCTGAGGAGTTTTGATAGCACATTGCTATCACATTTCACTGTATTTTGGCTGTTGCCATCAATGCAGAGCACTAAATAGAGACTTCTGAGGGTCAGTCTCCACTGATCTGTCACTCAACAGCTCTGACTCACACTTTCCACTCTGTGGGCAGAAGATCCCCAAAACCTCAGTGCCCCATCAGGCCACACTGCAGTTTCCCATGGTACAGTGGCGTATTAGAGGACAGCCAGTGGATGCTCTGTATTAGTCACAATCCCATAAAAAAAGAGGATTTCAGAAGGCTTCAGTTCTTTCCAGAGCTGAATGCATGATTCCTTTCCTAACTAGCCACTAATAAATCTGTAGCTATATCCAATACCACAACTCCCAAACCATCCCATTGATACACATTGACCATACTTCTCTCCCCAGCATCTCAACAGCTCAGAATTCTCTCCATTTCCACAACTCTGTGATTTTTTTTCTACCATTAGGAGTTTGGACCTTATATTTCAGCAGAAAGTACAGACCCGTCTCCTCCTATGTTTGCATAATTGCATACAATCCTCTTATCCTGTGGACTGACAATGTCTGTTGTTCTCAGCATACCTGTCATCTTAAACTTCCACAGTGTGTCAAACTGTTTCGATTTCTCTCTTAGATACCAAGCTTTGGTGTCTAAGTGGATGCTATCGCACTGGATGCTCCAGAAGGAAACTGCTTGGGTTGCCAGAAGGGTTCCCCAATGTAATCCCAGGATCACCCCTTAGGTGGGGGTTTCTTAAGGTCTGTTGCTGCTTGGATTTGAGTGTTAGCATCTTTTTCCATCACCAAGGCAGACACTGAGCACTACTGTTTCACAGGGATACTGCCAGGAGACTTGTGCATCTGTGACCTTTCTTGATATGTTTGTTTTATTTTCAGAGTTTGATTGTGATTTGTGATTTGAGGGAGTACGAGCTGTTCTGACTTGTTTTTCTGTTTCCTCTTCCAGCAATCAACTATCCCAACCCAACAGGTAAGCAACGACACCTTTGTGTTTATGTTTTGAATGCATATTAGTCAAGTGCTCCAGCAGATAAGGCAAGCCAACAACTGGAACACACAGCTGACTTTTTCAAACCTTTTTCCCCAAAAGAGGATGAAATTGCATATGCTAAAGCTTCCAGTAAATACTGCCATTTGTTGCACCTCAAATTATTGCCAGGAGATAAACACTAGAGATATGCCTCTCATTCACACCTGATGTCTCTGCGACTGGATAGGCTGTGATCTTGAAACCACCCTCCCTTAAAATGAGCAGTCTGCTTCCAGTAAGAAGGTTATTAAATGTTCCCTAAAATAATCTATGTTTAGAAATGTATATTCCCATCCTCTTCTGACCAGAAAAGATATCACTTAATATCTCTGCAGGCTAATATGGAGCTGTGTCCAGCTCAGATCTGGTTCCTCTCACAAACTTCTTGAACACAGTCCCTTTCTTTTCCCTTTCGGTGTCATCATTGTTAACTTGCTTATTTTCCTTTTGGTCATTCCTGCCAAGATGCAGGCCTATCTTTGTTGAGTCCCTAGAGTTCCCATTGATTTTGAGAGGAGAATACACAATGTCTCAGAATGATGGTCTTTAACATGAATGTGATGGTGCCCATCGAGCAGGAAAGAGGACTTCTAGCTTGCTGTAAGCAGTGGTGGAGTGATCTTCAGGGGATGAAACAAAGTCCCTTTGCTTCAGTTGCTGGATATATATAAGCCCAGGCAAAGCTCTTGAGCAGAGAAGGGCAGACTACTTGCTAATGGTCCATGGGGAGCAGGTGGTTCCATATTCAGTCCTTTTATGTTCCATATTCAGTCCTTACATTACTCTGTGTATGTGTAGGTAAGTGCTACTGCTGCACTGCAGGGTAGCAGTGAGAAGAAGGCAGCCAAAAATCAGGATATAAGATTGTCTTGTTAAGGCAGCCATGAGGTGTTAATTCTTGCAAGCTCACACTCTGAGGATGGTTTGATGAGCCATACTCTGCCTGAGAGTAGGAGCTGCTTACAGGGTTAGAGGGATTTGTCGCTCTAATTCCATATTCCATTTGCTTACTTTTCTCCACTTCCTGATCCTCTTTAAATATTGTCCACAGAAGACTCATTGGGAACCACAGAGCATATTGCCAGGGACCTACTCCAGAGTATGTCTCTTGGTACCTGCTGGAGGAGGCAAGCATCCCAGCCTGCAGGTCGAAGTGACAAAATCTGGCCTTTTGCCACTTGCTTTTACACTATATAAATCACTGGTAGAGCTAGAGCAACTTCAGTCCTGATTGTGCCAGTCTCTTGGGGTCTTTGGAAACTGAACCTTCAGACTGCCTGCCCGGGGCTGCTTTGGCAGCTTGATTGAGTCCAGAACAACTGCATTAAATTTGCCTATGGTGGAGGATGACAGCCATGCATGTATTTTCACGCAGTAAACCCAACACTTATGATTTCACCTTGATGTAAGTTGCCCAGCCTCTGGTGGATATTGGGACCTCTGGGCCAGTCATGAGGGTCTTGCCCTTGAGACTGACTGCCTAAAATGAGACCTACTGCACTTGATTTCAGATATGACCCTTCCTTTCAGACCAGCTGGTAGTAGATAGGCTCTTAGCTCTTTCTTTGGACCACAGCTGAGTTCTCAGATTGTCATCCCAGTAACAGGAAATCCCTCCTGCTACCTCTTCTTTTCCTAGTTCCTCTGCTACCACCATCCCTAGGGAAAAGTTCATGCTAGGCTGCCCAGTCAAATTCTGGGAGCAAACATTGAGAGCTCTCAAGTGAAAAGCAAAGATTAGATGATTAATGCCTCTGGCAGCCTGATCCAAGGGCATGCACAATGGTGATTAATTTACAAACTCTGAGAGTCACTTAATACAATTATTTCTTCATGCATTTTCTCTCTCAGCTTAATAAGATGTTAATAACATTGGGGCAGGCATGCGTGTGGCATGGTTACAGAGCCAGGTACAGGGCTCTAAAGGAAAAGCAAAAGAAAAGCAGAGGAAGTGAACAAAAGACATTGAGGATTTCTAATATTTAGAGGTTACCAGTAAGGCTGACTCTTAAAATTTAGCTCATCTAGTTCTAAAAACCAGAATTTATATTTAAAGAAACTGCCTAAGAATTATCTTAAAGTTCTCTTAGAATAACTGATTATTTTAATGTCATGAATAAATTCTGGTGCTGGGGAATCTGCTCTGTCCTTTTTACCTCTCCCCTGTAATTTCATTTAGATATAACCTTCGCTTTTTAACCCAAATGCTGCAGTGCTGCCCCACAAACTGTTGCAGCTCATCGGCACCAGGTGGTTTGGTTTCCCTGGTTCTACCAGATGTAACTTTGCAACTTGGTGATGAGGTCATTAAGAAGTATATTGGATAGCTGATTTAGTTTTCTATTGGCCAGTGTGTCTTGCCCTTCCAGAGCAGCAACACTGTTTCTCATGTATCTGCGGTCTGGCTGTGTGCAGTGCTAAAATGTTTTGGGACCATGGACAAGCAGAGTGGGTGGTGATCTGTGCCAAATACTGGTTGTTGTAGGTTCCGATGGTTCGTTGCTTACCATCTAGTGCTTGTGTGTCCTGTCCCTGATAATACCTCATAGTCCAGAGGAATTTAAGGTTGTTGCTCGAGTATGAACATGTGGGAATGAGATGCCAGCCTGCTGCGTAGAGTTGGATTACTCAAGTTTGTACCCATCCTTCAGGAATGTGTGTAATGCAAAGGTTAAAAAAGGTGACAATTTTTTGTATCATAATGGCAAATAGAATTGTGTAGACCATATTATCCCCTTGTTGCAGATGGAGATATTAAACCAGACAGCAATCCAGCATGACCTATCCAGTTATGTCATTGTGAAGCTTTCTTCCATTACTGGTGATTAATGCTCTAGAAGATTACAATGGAAGAGACTGTTAAATGGTTTTGCTTAGTTCACAATGTACTTTGAGGTCTCAATACAGTTTTCATTGTCTTCATTTTCTAGGTGGGGAAACTGATGTCCAAAGAGAAGGTGATAGCCTGTGGGTCAGTCAAGAGGTCTGCAACGGAGCCGAGGCTTGGAGCATGTTTCTTTATGCACTAAGCCAGTTTCAGTCTTCAGACCACAGCTAAATGATGCAGGCAATTTTATTCAAGTGCACTCCATCACCCATAGGCTGCAGCTAGAATAGGATTATTATTTTTTGTATTCATCTGTCATCCAGCATTTCGGAACCAGGGATGGCTTCCCCCTAAGGACTTGAAAGGAAAATCTCCATTATATTCCTCAAGAAGGCAAAGCAACAAGAAATGCTAATAGCCACAGCAGAGGATCTCTCCCCTGGGAATGCATGGAGGTGTCTGTAACCAGGTGCAAATATGTCTGCACTGAGCTACCTCCACTGCAAAACCTGCCAAAGAAATCTGTTTGGTGAAGATGGCCTTTGAGGAACCAGCTCCTCTGCCACCTCCACCTCATATATAACAATCCAGAGAGCAAATTCTGTGTTCAATGTTTAAATCCACTTCTTAATTTTAAAACAGGAACGTTCTTTGCACCATGGTGCTGAGCCAGGATCCCTGGCAGATGGGGTAAATCTTCAAGAAGATTTGCTTCACATAGCCAGGGTCATCAGTCAGGTCACCTTTGTGGCCTCTTGAGACACAGCAAGCCATTTAAACGTTTTTCTTTTGGCTGGATCTACCAGTTTTCTCCTGGCAAGCTTTGCTGATAACCACACAGAGGTGATGTGCTGGTGGTGTCCCAAACCACACTGAACATCTCCTAGTTATTCATGGCATCTCCACTTCTAACTCAGAGAAACAACAGAGCTTTGCCTTCCTGTGGCTTGTTTTAAACCAAAGGACCAGGAGTCAGAGCACTTGGGTTCTGTTTCCAGCTTAAATACTGCCTGCTGTGACCTTAAATGTGTCTGTCTATACATTTGGGCATCTATTTCCCCATGTGTAAGGCAGGAGATATATAGAAAGAGGCATTGCTATGCCATAGAGGTGTTAAGAAGCCTTGTTCATTAGTTGTTGCAAAGTGCCTTGAGCTCCCAAGCTAAGCAGAGGTAATATGCTGTAGTTATAAACTCCCGCACAGCAAGTGGTGTTGCACATAAGCTGGATCATGTTGTCAATTACGCAACAGCATTGGTTGATCCGTGATGCATAGGACTGTTCTCTATTTTATGTGCTCTGCTAGAAGCGTTGCCTTCTGGAATTAGCTGCATTTGAGTGAGAGCAGCGGATGCAATCTGGACCCTGTTTTGACATTAAAAGAGCTTTCTTTGGGCTTTTGAGTCATCTTTTCTGATCAGTCTCATCCCATAGGTGTGTGGGGCTTCTTACAAATGAGGCACAGTAGTCCATCAGCTGGTGCAACCAGACCTTGGTGCTAAGCTGAGAATACTGTCTTCAGTCCTCTTGTCTTGCACAGGTCTCTCTGATCTCCACCTGAGCTTGTGCTTTCTCCTTAATCTGCCTCTCCTTCGATGTCTGTGCCTCCTCATTTGTGGGTTTGTTCCCTCTCAATCACTTGCCTGGCTGACCTCTGTGTTACAGCTTCCAGCTCTGCTTTACACCTGATATTCCCTGTTAAGGTAATTTTGTGCTGGAGAAAGATGTCACCTTTCTCTGAAGGTCCATGTGCATCACAGTGTCAGAATTGCAAACAATCCCTTTGCAAAAGGAGAGTCATGGTGATTCTGCTGTGTAGGATAATGCCGTTCCAAGAGAAAACTTGTCTCTTGTAACTGCAGCTGGCAACCCATGAGCTGAAGTCATGGAAATGCTTGTCTTTGGTCCAGCAGAGAGAAAACAGGGGTATTACACAACCCAGCAATATCAGCAAGCTTGTGGGCTCCAGCCCCTCCTTTGAAGACCACTGGCTATCTGGTACAATCATGAACTCCCTTCTCTCAGCCATGAGAGCTGAAGAAGGATCCTTAGAACCTGCTTTTCCACTCTTTTCTCCTTCCATTTCCCTGTACTGGGAAATGAAAAAGGCCCCCCCATCCCACGCAGTTACCCTGTCTCAACCCCCTTGCCAGCATCTGCCCCATCATCTCCTCCCCACTCCTCCCTTCTCCTTCAGCTCCAGATGCCATTCCACCCCTGTGCTAGGCACTGCAGAGCAGTGGCTAATTTGGATTTGGATGCTAATTAGAAATTAGTAGATTGAATGGAAAGCACTTAGCCAGGGTTAATCAGCAGTTAAGCGGCCAGCCCAGCCAAGCTCCTGATGGCTGTACAGAGCTCGAAAGAGAGGCATTTCCCGCTGAATTTGTGGAAAACCCAGCTGCTCTGGTCTGTGAACCAAGCCCTTGGCTTGCCACACAGTGTCTAGCCTATGCTGGCAAAGACATTTTTGCTGGACACAGCAGAAGGCTGCCTCCTCTTTCCTCACTGCATTGGTGGGATGCTGGAAAGAGACAGGCAAGAAGGTGGAACCCAAATCCCTGCCACAGGGGTGTACAGACTTTTGATATCCGTTTGGATGACTACTTGCAAGGTCTGAGATCCATGCTCAGCCCGTTTTCCATCCAGCTCGAGTTTTTGCCCAGGGACCTCTCAAAACACAGAGCAGTTTTCATTCTGGGTCTTGGACCTCTTTTCTCTTTCTTTTCTGCCTGTTTCATCCATCACTCTCCTATCGCATCAGCAGCGTAAAGCTGGTCTTTGGCCTTTGTTCTTGTGACTCAAGAACTACCTTTTTAACACTAAAGTTACAATCTTCAGCGTTGTTATGTCCTATTCATTCCAGTCTCTGCAAGTCCATATTGGGTTATGTCTATGCACAAGATTTTTCACCTGTCTTAAAATATTGCTGTAGGGTGTAACTGTCTTGTGGTAGTAATAAAAGCGAGCCCTATTGCACATGTGGCTGATCCTACATGAAAATCTTTTACCTACATGACTTATTTTGTTAGGGGAACCAGCATAAGCTCAAAATCAAATGTGCCTTTTAGCTGGTATAAATTGGATGTACTCTAGCCAAATGACACATTTGTCACACTGAGCTGACCTCTTCTCCACAGCTGATTTTTTTTCATGTGTGTCATAGTTTAGTTAAATATATAGCCTAAAGGGGGGTCACCTGCTGGTGCTTTTTCCTCTCTCCTGGGGAAATTATTCTACTGTCAAGTTTCTCTGATATAAAAGCCCTCATAGCCCGTTTGCCTTCAATGCTCTTTTTACCCTCCTCTACATTTGCCCCTTCAGATCTCTCAGCAGAATCTCTCTTTCACTTTAGCTATATTGGCTTTATTCTGTTTTGTCAGACCATCACATCTATCAGACTGCATTAACCCTTCCATAATAATACTAATCATGTATATATCATGGGTAATGATAGGGCAGTGGGGAATATTTTTAAACTAAAAGAGTGGAGATTTAGATTTGATGTTAGGAGTTAATTCTTTCCTCAGAGAGTGGTGAGGCACTGGAACAGGCTGCCCAGAGTTATTATGGGTGCCCCATCCATGGAAGTGTCCAAGGCTAGATTGGGTGGTGGGCGGTGCCGCGCACCCGGTCCCTGATACGGCTGGCGGTTTTGGCACCGGCCCGCCCCAGGTCTCCCCCTCCCACTAATCCGTCGTAGGGTGGGGCCGTGAGCAACTTGATGTATTGAATGGCAGCCCTGCCCATGGCAGGGGGTTTGGAACTGGATGATCTTTGAGGTCACTTTCAACTCAACCCATTCTGTGATTTCTGTGATACATTCCTTTTCAGCCTCCTCCTGAGGTCGAGGGCTGTCCATCTGCCCCCGGCTCAACACAGGGACGTAGCAGTGCTGCGAGCACCCAGGCAGCTTGGGGAGGAGGTTTGAAAAGCAGCAGCTGACCAGCCCTTTCCCTTCCTTCCCCACAGATAACACCTGCCGCTTTGAGGACGAGAAGATCTGCGGCTTCATGCAGGACAAGATGGACAACTTTGACTGGACCCGGCAGAATGCCCTCACCCAGAACCCCAAGCGCACCGTCAACACCGGGCCTCCCACAGACATCAGCGGTACGCCAGAGGGTAGGCACACATCTGGGTTTCTTCCGGCTTGGCTGGGGGGTGAGATGCACGCCGTTGCTTGTCAGGAGTCTTGCGTCTCTGGGAGCTGGTGGAGGGCTGATCTGCTTTCCACACAGCACACTTCTCCTCCGCGCAGGGTGCAGGGAGCAGGCAGTTAATTTGCATGTTACTGATTGGCATTAAACACACAATTAAAACACCCACGACTTTGTTGAAGGGAATAGTGTGAGCATTAGTTCTTGTTACCAGCTAATTGCCTGCTGCCTAATGCCCTTGTACTGTTTGATGCTTGTTTTGAAGTTAAAAAAGGATAAACAAACGAGAACATCTCTAACACCTAGAAATGGCTCTGCTGGTTTTAGCCAGCTGTTTCCTCAAAGAAGGTCTCAGGGAGGCAAACAGATCTCCTTAGTGCCAAGCAGGACGATGAGAGACAGGAGCTACCTCACCTCGTAGCTGGAGGAGACTGGTGTTATGTATTGCTCATGCTAGCTGTGAATGGAGCACATGCTCCCGTTTCAGCTGGGTATTATTTCCACCTTTCTCTAACAAGGAAAGTAAATTTGTATGCAAGCACATATCTTTGAACTCAAAAAAAATGGGAAACATCCAATGGCCAGCTAAGGAAATGGCTTTTCCCATTATTGTTCAGTACACCGACCTGATTGAGCATTGAAAATTATGTCAACAAGTTAAATAGCTAATCTGTTCCTCCCTGGGCTGTTAACTACTACGTTAGTGTTGTTCTCTTTGGACAACAATATTGTTTAGGCCAGATATACCGAATCCTCTCTCTCTCTGCTTGAGGCAAAGAAATTGGTCGGAAATGCTTTCTGCCTCCTCTTTCTGGTTTTCTCCTTACACCATGGAGTCAGTTCTGGGGTCCTTGTGCTGCAGCAGGAAGGCTCGTTTTGCACACAGACAGATGTGTGTGTGTGCACGTTCAGGGATTCACCTGCTGCAGGTGCTCACAGCGCCAGTCTGGAGATGCTCATCTCTCTCTCTCTCTCCCCTAAATACTGTAAAGGCAGAAGAGGCACTGCAGACATCCTGCAAGTGTCTCTGGCTAGGATCACACTGGGTGCAGAGCAGTTGGGAAGAGCAAGGCCCTGTCTCCCAGAGGAGGAGTAGTTTCCCAGCCACTGGCTTCCCATAGCTTGCAAGACGGGAGAAAGTGCATGCTGCCTTTCCCCACCTTTCCCTCTCGTTCTGTAGGTTACTACATGTTCATCGAGGCGTCCCGGCCCCGGGTGACAGGAGACAAAGCCCGGCTCATCAGCCCCCTCTACAACATTACTGCCAAGTACTACTGTGTCTCCTTCTACTACCACATGTATGGGAAGCACATCGGTGAGTACCCTCCAGGGAAGGGTAACCCCAGCCTTAAGCAGGCTGTTGGGGAAGATCTCCAGCCTCTCACTCCACCAGCTGTGCCTGCAACCAGCAATTCAGGAGGGCAGGAGTCCTACTCCAGTGTTCACAGCACCAGGGTGGGCTGCTGCTTTCAAGTACTTGTCCCATAACACAGCCCAGAAGTGTGAGGGCTTTGAGACTGTTGCAGCCAATCCTTGGGGCAGTACCTTGCAGTCAGTCTGTCCAATGAAGAAGAGATGGAGGTTAAGGGGTCTTGTGGGACCAGAGAACTCTGCAGTGGCTGTAGCTATTTTAGGGTGGGCAAGATGCATGTTCCCCCAGCTGTGCCAAGGGGCTGTCTGGTCTGTCTGACTCCCTTTTCTCTAACTGTAAGCCTGTGAGTGCAGCAAGCACCCCAGAAGTGCCTGGCACACTAATGAGTTTCCATATCCAGTCAAGGAGCAATTGCTAATTTGTCACCTCTTGATTATAATTTCATTAATTTGAATAATAGATGCACTCTTCCCACAGCACGCTGGGTTATTAATCACCTGCTGGACTGGAGCCTGACTGAAAAATCAGGGCCTAGGCAGGAATGTGTCCGCCCTTCAATAAACGGGGTTAATTAACAGCTCTCTGCTCAGCACTGTAGATGTCACTGGGAGGAAATACACTCCTGAGTCTGGTCACCACATTTCTGTTCACTTGTGGCACAGCTGAGAAGTTTAAGTGCAAAATCTGGGCAAGGCTGAAACCCTGACAACCATGGGTGCTGGGGGCTAGGGGCTGGACTGTGGTTCACTGAGCAGGTCTCCGTCTGTGTCTTTCTTCTGAGGGGTCAGACTAGGTAAAAGGTGTTTGCACACACCTATATTTCCCCTGCAGACAGGCTGCTCCATGCTGTAGTCAAGCTGGCAGGGGCAGGATGCTCAGACAGAAGAGCACTGTCAATGTTGGCTCACACCAGGTTTTCCTGAACTTGCTGGTCCTGCTTAGCTGACTGAGTCCAGTTGTTAATGATGTCTGGCAAACTCGCATGTTCCTGCAGTTGGCCAGCTCTGCTACCTAATTCCTGCATGTCCTGGAGGCTTGGAGAGGGATCTCATTTTTTGTAATTTCAGTGAAGACTGGGCCAGACTGGTGGGAGACTGGCAAGGAAAGGTGTAGGGAGAGGAGGCCTCTTTTGCTTTCTTTGCTTTGAAAATACAACTGTGTGTCATATCCCAAGTTCGTTCACAAGTAAAGTAAAAGCCATCAACTTTTGCTTGCTTTTGGACAAGAACTCTGTTTTACAGCTCTCATTGGGCAGTCTGTCTGGAAATGGGGTGAACTGGACATGCCAGGGAATCAATTCATTATAGGTTTTTTGCTTTTAGCATTTTAACTCTTTACTCATTTGCTCCACCAGCAAATTATCCAGAGCAAAAGCTGCAGTAACTCCCAAAATCTAAGAAAACCACTAAGTGCCATTTTCTGTTCCTCAGCTTCAGATGCCTTTTACATCTGTTGATTTTTCTCTTCATACCTAATGTTGTGGCCCCTGCCTGCTCTCCATTTTGCTTTTGTTGCACAAAGGAGCCGATAAATTTGTGCAAGGTGGATAGACTCTAATGTCAAATGATTATTTCCAGTGTGGGTGCTGCTGAGCTGAGAGGGAATAAATTATTTTAAAATTAGACTGACTAGATAGAGTCAGAAAATGAAAGAGAACTAAATGAAAAAATGTTCTTTTTCTCTTGTCCCAGAATATGTGAATATGTGCAATAAGTGACTCGGTCTAGCAAACCCACTCTGTATCTCTCTGCAGATTGAAACTCAGTGTCTTGTATCTGCTTAACACTGGAGTTTCGTTCAGGGCCGGTCACAATATTCTGTAACCATTTTGGCTTCTCTTCTACGTATTGTGGCAGCAGGGTGAAACTGAGACCTCTACAGGAAAAATCAGAATGCCTAGTAGTCGGAACTTGTCTGGTTTTCATCACTCCCACTGTGATAATTACTAACTCTTACACTACTTGATCTTCTTCCTTACTGCCACACTGGCAACACTCTGTTATAGCTCTCCTCATCTCTGCACGTGCACAAATAAACCCGCGTTCGGGACATGCTTGTTTCACCAGCTCGATGCATGTTGATTACTCCCTGGCTGGTTTTGCTTGTATGGAAGTTGTGAAACCCTTCCAGAAAGCTGTACATTTTTTGGATGGTGCCAGGCTTGATACCCCTAGTGGCTGAAGTCCTCTCAGAGTTTTTAGGATAAAGCAAGTTTATTCAGCATTTCTTCTTTAGCCATGGGTTAGAGGAGAGCGTAGGACTCAGTAGGCCTTCTGTCAAATGAGGAGACAGACCCTGCCCTCCTACCTGTTCCACATATCCAACACTATGAAGGTAAAGATGGGGTTGCTACAATCCTGAGCCATGCCTTGCTTCCCGGGTATCTGGCTATCCCTGATGCCTCCAGTCATGGCCCCAACCCCTGCTCACCTAGTGCCAGCGCAGTCCTACCAAGCCAGGTGCCAGCCCTGCTGAGCCAACCGTAGCACTTAGCAAGAGCGTATCAGATTGTTTCTGTTGGCAGACAGTGCCTGCAAGAGGGTATCTCCCAGCCCAAGCTTTTCCTAGCAACCCTAGCTCCATTTTGGAGCAAACCGAAGCTCTGTCACTACGGACAGAAGCCATATAAAATCCCGACATTTATTTATTTTTTTAATAACCCTTTTATTACCTTTTTTCCCCCTCTACAGAACTTGAAAGCTGGTTTACTCTCACAATTTGACTATAAAATATCCATAGCCATCCAGGCAAATCTTCCCTGGGAGAGTTCCCAGACACTACTCGTTTATAATAGATATGACGAAAGAGAGAAACAGAATACAAATGGACTGGTTGTAGCCATGGCATAAAATATTCAGCGACTAGCAGAGCAGGACGATGTTGAATATCTCTCAGCTGATGAGAACGCAGGATGAAGGGGAGCTCCCTGAAGGCAATTCCTGTTCTTCTGAAGTTATTTGGTCATCGGTTTTTCTTCCTCTGGCCCCCTCTGGAGCAAGCATTCACATTGCCCTATGATCCTGCCTGCCTAAACACAAAAATCAGAGGGAGGGGAAGGAAAGAAGTCTCAGACATTCAAGAACATTGTGCCTGGTGCAGATGCATCAAATGAGGAATTGCTTACTTTCCTCAGGGGAGGAAACTAGCCATGGCAGGCAGCAACCATTTGCCAAGTTCAAAAAGCCTTTTTGTCAGGTTAGGTGGGAGAGTCAGCATCACAGCTTGAGCAAATCCTCAAGTCCTTGCTTCAGCCATCAGACTCCTGTTCCTCCCTTTCTAGGGGCTGCCAAACAAGAGGAGTTCGAAGCTTTGGTCTGGTCCCAGAGTTTTGACATCACTGGCTTAAGTGAAACCTGGTGAGATAAGTTCTGTGACAGGATTGCCCTGTTGGATTGTTACAGGCTCTTCAGGAGGGATAGACAGAGCAGAAGAGGTGGAGGGATGGCACTGTGTGTAATAGAAGGATTAGAACGTATGGAGCTCACAGTTGGCAATGGCACAATTGAGAGCCTCTGGATAAGAATCAAGGGGCAAACAAATAATGTGGATGTCATTGTGGGGGTCTACTATAGACCCCCCGGCCAGGACGATGATGACAACTAATTATTCTTTGAGGAATTAAGAGTCACTTCCAGATCAACTGCCCTTGTTCTTATGGGGGACATCAATTTGCCAGAAATTAATTGGGAGCACCACACAGCTGGTACAACCCGGGCCAGAAGATTCCTAAAAAATCTGGATGACAGTTTTATGGAACAGGTCCTAAGGAAGCCAACTCGGAAAAATACCCTCTTTGATCTACTGCTTATCAACAGAGTGAATCTTGTGAGCAAAGTGGAGATTAGTGGCTGTCTTTGCCACAGTGACCAGGAAAAGACCGAATTTAAGATCTCTGTTGACAGGAGGAGAAGTGCCAGCAAAACCTGAACTCTGGATGTGCGGAGAGCAGACTTCAGGTTTCTTAGGGAATTAGTAAGTAAGGTCATCTGGGAAAACGTTTTTGCAGGTGCTGGGGTCCAGCAGTGATGGTCACTTTTCCAACATCACTTCGTAAGGGCACAGAAGCAGGCAATTCCCAAATGTCAGAAGTCAAGCAGACAAGGCAGAAGGTCGGCTTGACTGAAAAGGAATCTTCTCTTGGAAATAAGGCAAGGAAGGTATGTGCCCAGTGGAAGCAAGGTCAAGTGACATGGGAAGAATTCAGAGATGCTGCTTACAGCTGTAGGAAGAAAATTTGTGTGGTCAAAGCTCAACAGGAGTTGAAGCTGATGAGAAATGGAGGAGACAATAAAAAAGAGTTTTTTCAAATACATTAATGGCAATAGGCAGGATAGAAATACCATCAGCCTGTTACAGGATGAGGATGGTCACCTCACAAACAGGGACAGGGACAAGGCAGAGGTGTTCTTTGTCTCTGTCTTCAATGCAGCTGACGGGCCAAGGGGGTCTTGGTGCCCTGAGCTGTTGGACCATGACTGTGAAAATGATCAACTCCCAGTCAACCCTGAAATTGTGCAGGATCTGCTGCTCCAGCTGGATCCCTACAAATCTATAGGGCCTGATGGGATTCATCCCAGAATCCTCAAAGAGCTGGCTGATGTCATCACACAACCTCTCTTGATGACTTCTGAATGCTCTTGGGATTCCAGAGAGATCCCAGCTGACTGAAAGCTAGCAAATGTTGTCCTGATTTTCAAGAAGGGCAGGAAGGAGGACCCTGGAAAGTACAGACCTGTCAGTCTCACTTCAGTGCCTGGTAAAAACTAATGGAGAAGATTGTTCGGGGAAGTATTTAAAAACACCTGAAAGACAACGCTGTCACTGGTCTCAACCAGCACGGCTTCCTGAGAGGAAAGACCTGCTTATCAAAACTGATTTCCTTTCATGACAGCATAACCCACCTAGGTGATCAAGGGAAGCCAGTTCATTTTTGGATCTTTTTG